CTGCAAAGACTCAACGTCAGCCAAGGCGAGTGAGAAAAGGAAGGGTGCGCCGCTCTACATTGTGTACAATTGCGCGTGTGAGTTCTGCATTGGCAATACCACAACTATATCAACAACACGCTCGGTGAGGTGAGCATCTACAACATATCATCAATACCAAACCCTCACGCATAAACCCTGGACACCCCTATAAAGCCATAATAGAATCCTCTAAAATCCCAAAGGCCCTAAAACTCTTTCTGAGGCTTCGGCCACAGGAGTTGACGGAGCTCAAGGAGCTGCGCGACCGACCTGAGGAGGTGTCCGGGATATCTTCCCGGTCCCTAAACGATTTAGGGTTTTAGGGGTTAGGGGTTTGGGGCTAGGAGTCATATGTTTCAAAGCTCGTTGGGGTTATTGGGGTGCTTCTTATAGGAGCCATTGAAATTCTTCTTAGGGTTCTTATTAGGCTTATGGGTTAGTGGCTTCGGGGTTTTGCAAATCAGGTTCAGGGGCTGGAGAGTTTGAGGTTTAGTGCTACTTGTTTAGGGATTCTCATACGGATTTGAAACCATTCTTGGAAGCAGAGTTAATCCGCACTTGACCCGGGGTTCAGGACTTCAATTGCCGCGCTGGAGGCGTTTGGGGTTCGAGTCTTGAATTTCTGAAACGCCCATGCACCATGTTTAGCCATGGTTTTCGTGCCAAGTTGTCGGCCTAACCTGTAGGAACAACATGTTGTTTTTTAGCAGGGGTTGATTATTAAACTTACGACACGACTTTCTGTATTTCTCCTGACATACGATGGGGACTACGATGCTCTTGACAGGCAAGAACTTCTTGACAAGACACACACAGCCAAAGCCATGATATGCCATGTAAACGAAACCACGAGAACAAGGCTGTTCACCAGGCCGCGGCGAACACCGCGACTGCCACCATGACAACAAGAGCAACAACAACTACGACAACAGCACGAACACCACAGGTCACCAAAACAGCTGTAGCCACATGCCGATGGGCGTGGCATTGTGAGGCTTGAAACAGCATGAGCAATGAGAATGATAAGTCACGGTAATCATTACAAGAAAGCGCTATAAAACCATACAGAGTCATTAGAAGGACTACAAAGACGCCATTACAGGGATTATTGTGACAGCGGCCACGATAAGATTACTACGCGGGCTACCATAACAAGTCGAACCAAAGGGTTACCAATAGTCCCCCTTATGGACAGCCCTTTTCAGAACCATATAGCAACCCTCTTTACAGTGATAGTAACCCCTATGGTCGTTACTGTTACTGTTACTGTTGTTCCTCCTAGACGGACCCCTTTTGCTTTTGGATTTCGCTAACTCTCAAACTTCGAGCAGGAAGAGATGCCCTCCTCGCCGCAAATGCGGAATCCGCAGGCAGCTTCCAGAAGTGCCCAACTTCGGACTGAAACCCTAAAAGGGCGGATACGGCTCGGTGTTTAGGGATTTGTGGAATCACAGGGTTGAGCGCGCAGATCCTTAATCTGACGTGAGCAACTTTCACAGGCGAGGTAGGTCATTTTCGTCGATCACTCTAGCATTGCAGCAGATTGTTGCTAGAACCTATTGTAGTACAGCTAGAGTATATATTGGAGTTCGAGTTCTGTTTGGGGCAGACAGGCCCTAGTATGATATTCCCCGAAACCCCAATGTCAAAATTCAAGGCCCCTAAACCCTAAATTCCTAGCTTTGACTAGCGCAGGGTGACTTCGGGCTTGGGGGTTTGCGCCGGGGAGGACATGGACGAAGAAGGCGAGGATGGAGACGTGCTGCCCACCCTCTCGCCGCTGCCGCAGGCCTTGAGGGAAACCCAACAGCCTTAGGCCTTAGTGGGTTTAGGGTTTAGGGGCTTTGAATCTTGCAAAGCGGTTTCAGGTGATATTATACTAGGGCCTTTCTGCCAAGCATAAGCAGTCGAATTGATAGGAAGGTTGTTTTCTTGTAGTTGGTCGTCATGACGAGAGCAACTATACTATAAAGTATGATGTGATGGACTGCAAAACACCATTCTGTGAACGGAAGGCATGTCCGACCTTCAACACACGAGGCTCAGAATTCAACACATACCTGACCTCAGTAGATCAGTCTACCCCAGACACCATGCTCGGAGAACAAGAACTGTATGGGAAGTCCTCCGATGCTAGAATCTGGGCGTCTACGTTTTCAAGCTGATCAGCCGCGACTTGAAGTCTTGAATCCTAGCTTATCGACCCCGAAGCACGCGAAACCCAAACTGCACGAAGCAAAGCTTTTAACTATTCCTTGGGTGTTTAGGGCTTAAGGCTTATAGAATTTCCCTAAACCCTAAACCCTAAACCTTAAAGGGGATATCAACTTGCAGACCGATTCGAAGGATGCCTCGCGCCTAACCCCATCACCGAAGCCGGTGAAGCTGAGCGAAGCAGAGACGCCGGAGACCCATGATTCGTTACATCTGTACTACTACCATGACGACGACGACGACGACTACTACTAGTACGACGACGACTACTACTACTACTACTACCACCAATAACAGTATTTGTTTATTAACAGCACAACCCTAATACGAGTTAAAAACGTAATAAGATGAACCATAACCATTGCTACAGCGATAACAACAGCAATGGCAATAACATGCAATAACAATATCAGTAGTAATAATGATAATGACGGCAGCCAGAATGATTCTATTAGTACATACTAATGATAATACTACTTGTGTTTTTGGTAAATAGTGGCAGTCGCAGAATGATGATACTCGCTATGTATATACTAGAGAGCCCTAGACCCTGGTCCCATCATCCTAGGGTTTGAGGTTGAAGCAGCTAAGCCGTAAACCCTCAAGGCCCTCAATTTTTCCAAAAAAAAAACCCTAAACCCGAAACCCCAAACGTTAAACCCTAAACCCGAAACCCTCAACCCTAGAGCCAGGCCCCAGGGTTTGAGGTTGGGAGAGCTTCAGGGTTCTGGGGGCACCGCCTTGGACTGAATACTTGGAAGGGTTCAGGGTTTGAGGGACTAAAAGCCCCAATCAGATCTGAAACCAGTGTCAGGGTTTAGGGTTCAAGGTACTCTAAAAGCCCCAATCAGATCCGATACCAGTTTCAGGGTTTAGGGTTTAGGGATGTTTAGGGTACTCTAAAAGCCCCAATCAGATCCGAAACCAGTTTTAGGGTTTAGGGTTTAGGGGACCAGGCGCGACGACGCATGATCCGGTTTGGGGCTTCGGCTTGTCCCGGTGGAGGTGGGTGGTTGTCAAAATTATGGTCCCTTTTTGGGTCCTTATTATAATACGGCACCTATTATTTAGGGTACCCCAAAAGGGACCCTAATTTTGACAACTACCCAGGTGTGTTGTTGTGATTACCAGTTCCAGGTTGAAGGCAAGGACAAGACAAGCAATCGCCAGGATGCTATGAATGCTACAGTCCGCAACTCTTCAAGCCCATAATGTAGGGGCCTAAATAATTACCAATACTATTTTGGGGGGTTATTTATTGCAATTATAGTATACCGGGCCGGGCGCCAAAACCCCATTCTAATTATTCAGGCCCCTAAATTACCCGGACTCTTCCACCCGCGAAGAGACTTCTCCTGCTTGAGGCAGACACCTCTGACGAAGGAGCAGGAAATCCGTGGATCCCTGAAGGTAGTGGAAGGCGGGGCGGTGCCCGACCCTTATTTAGGGTTGTTGAACATCAGGATCCTGCCGTCGAGGTCCTACTAGGTTTGCCTTAGGGTTTCATTTCTCTGAAGCTTCGGAGGAAATTCTGTCCATGGAAATGTGCTGACGCTTGATGTATGTCAACCTTTGTGCTAGCACCACTACCAGTTCTACATTTACGGTTTGGACCACTGATTTCCACCCCTCCTCCGACTGCAACGAGTGCCAGCAATGCACCGATTCCACACGGTCACATGCAAATCATACATCCACGTGTAAACGTATGTCCCTTGCCATGAAAATCAAAAGTTCACTGGGCAGCCTGCAGACGCTGTTACTAGCACTGCGGATACCAATACCAAGCAGATCACTTTCAAGAACGGTGGCGGTGGTATCGTTTGCAGTACTGGAACGCCGGTAGCGGTATAAAGAATGACACCATCAACAATGGCAGCAGCGGTCAGCATGAGAGTAGATATCACCTTCGTCTTTTTTCTGCAACGCACGACCAAAGACGATACTAAAAGCTGTCCTGGTGTCAACGCGAGGCGGAATCCATGAAGTTGTTGCTAGCCACTACCGCAGCAAAAACACGCGCTGTGACAATACAGATCGTAGTCATCGTGGACTAGGTATACAAATCGCAGTAAGTAGATTATCGTCGTATCTACGTTTCACAGAGGGAATGTGGCAGTCGCAGTGAGCACATGTGAGAACCATGGCCGTCATCACCAAAAAAAAGTGGTGATAACAATAGACACAGTCAATCCTGTGTGACAGCATCCTAAAGTCGATCTTTTGAGACTTCTCCTGAGCCAGGGCCTAGGCGAAGCAAGTCTTATTTGCAGACCCACGCTGCCAGGCCGCGTCGCAGGGCACGTCCAATGTGCCACCTACCTCAGCTACCTCAAGGTGCCGAATCAGTTTGACTGGCCATACCAGCTCTCGGCAGACATGAAACTACTGTGGAGAAGATCCGTTGACGGTTTCATTTGCAGTGCTTCTGACTTCAAACCTCTGGTACGCTAGAGGTAGTGCAGACAGAGCTTGTCGAAGAGCGACCGCCGGTATCGAAGCCTTTCTACATGACACTTACATCCAGCCTCATTACAAGCCCCTGAAAAGCCAAAAGAAATACACAAAACCTGCAGAGAAACTTTGCAAAGAAGCCTAAACTTGCAGGGCGTCGGCTACGTCAACTTCACTGCTGGAGCCTTTGGATGGGACACTAGGAGGTGTTTTGAAGTCCCGAACTGAGTTACTATTTCCGAAAATCCTGAAACCAAGCCGTTTGAGTGACTAAGGGGAAAGGGCGAGCCGCACCACGAAGCTTAGCAGACTGGCGGATCATGATTAATGTAGGGGCCTAAATTACCTAAACTATTTTGGCGGGTTCCGTATTATCACTATACGTAGTATAGAATCCCCCAAAACCCTATTCTAATTAGTAACGCCCCTTGATCAGGTTAGCGGTCGAGATGTGAGCAGAAAAAGTGTTAAGGTTCTGAAGATGTAAGTGCTCCCACTCAGAGCCTTCTTTTTGAAGCTCCTAGACCATCCCTAAACCCTGAAGCTTGCATCTTCTTGCAGTGCAGGTTTAGGTCGATGGGGAAGCGGGCCCCGCGCCAACACGTCTGTTATAATGGTTAGTGTGAGGACTGCGAGAAAGCTTACACTAAGGAATGCCATAAGGGGGTCATGCCTGCAGCTTAAGGTCATGTTCCTGGCACTGGCTGGCATCATGCTCTTCCAGAACTTCTGCAGCTTGTGGATCGTGTGGCTTGGGCGCAATGTCTGACTCAATCACCTTTTTGCTGCAAGTGTTGCTCTTCACTTTTCCCCAAGCGACTCTGACCTGAACGTCCAGGTACTGGACGTCTGAGAAGAAAGACACGACCTTCATGCACAGCTGGTTGACGGACGGATGCAGGGCTGTTGGATCGAGAGCGTCTCTAGGATAGGAGTTGCGGAAGAGCGTTGCTTGCAGTTTGGGGTCCCTGAATCCCAAACCCTAAACCCTAAAAACCCTAGGCCCTGTACGGTTGTGAGTTCCTGTTAGCTTATTTAAGGCCTTCCCTTTCTGTACTCGGAGAGGATCATGGTAGGGACAGTGACAAATAGGCAGACGTAGACTTGTCACAATGTCGAAGCCTGAAGAATTACCAGTCATCACAGTGTAGCATACCCCCCAAACCCTACTCTACTTACAAGGCCCCTTCATCTGGCGACATTGAATGGGAGCAGAAGATGACATTATAGTTTAGGGTTCAGGGTTTAGGGTTTTTGGGTTTAGGGGTTTGAGGGTTAGGGTTTCGGGTTTCGGGTTTAGGGTTTAGGGGTTTAGGGCTTCAATAGAGAAAGAGATTAGAAGATGAAGCGGTTTCCATGCTCACTGAGTTGAGGATGATCTTCTTGCGGGAAAGCTGCCCGAAGCCCTAGACATTGTCAAGCCTAAAACGTAAATCGACAGTTTGGAAGCTGTCACCAGAAATCCTCGAGCATTTGCCAACCACAACAAGAAACACGAAAGTCTTTAGAGATTCCACGGCGCTTTGGCATTTAATCCCTTAGCCCTTGATGTCCGTACTTGTAAGCTAGATGCCAGGGCTTCAATAATTACTTCCCTATGACAGTTATAGTTTGGCATGCCCCCCAAGAACCTTCTTCAGGTCCTTAGAGCTATATTAAGCCCGAGATCCCTCGGTGGATTCCCTTGGTAGGATCTTGGGATCAAGCCGCCGACAGAAACCTCCGCGCTTCTCAAAGTCTATGCTTGCCTGGTCGGGGCCTTCTGGGGCCTTCGCTTAGTATAGGGCTGTACCTAGACTCTTCTACTAAGGAAGGACCACACTAGCTCTATTGAAGGATTCTGGGTCGGGGACGTGGATCCTGGCAGGTTTTGAAGGTTAGGGTCAGTTTGTGGTTCAGGGTTTTTTTTCCGCTCTCGTCGCTTAGGGCTTCAGATTCCTATGGTTGTGGTTTGTGTTTTTATTTGTTCATCTGCAAGGTTAGCCGACTAGCTTAGGGTTCTATCAACCTGAAGAAGACAATGTCACTATTTAGCTTTAAGTAAACACAGCCCATACTGATACGATGCGGAAAGAATGAAGCGAAACCTCAACCCTGAGCAGAAAGATTGTAGAACCAATGGTAAACATGAAAGTCTTCACTATAGACATGATAACTGCTTGTAACCAACGCGATCATCAGGACAGCGGTAAATGCCGGCCATGCCACTATCAATAAGAAGTCACCATCATGACCATACGAGTTACCCATCCACATCAGACCCCAGGCCCCCGTTCCTGCTAAGCCACGAGAGGCACGACTGCTGAAGATCTGAGAGCCTTGATGCACCCTTTAGGGTCTTGGGCGGTAAGGTGTGCACTTAGGGTTGTGAAGGGCGATCTCTTATACTCACCCCGGGACCCTAAACCCTCCTTCCCTCAGGGCTGGGGCTTAGGATAGTTTCTGACACCTGTCATACAACACTGCAACACCGTGGTCCCAAAGAGTCCGGCATAGTCCATTGCTACCCCTGCAGCGCCATGCCCTGAAACCTACATAATAAGCCCCAAACGCCTAGGCCCCAAAACCCCAGGCCAAATTCCAGCCCTCCAAGCTCTGACCAGCTCCAAAAATCACTTCAACACTCTCCCAGTAGCGGTAGCGGGTAGCAGTCGCAGCACCGTAAAAGCTCGCAAGCCCTCGACTCCGTCAACATCAGAAAGAGCAAAAGCAACTGTCACGGTCAGCAAAGACACGGTCAAGATCAACAGGAAACAGGAACTGGCAGCACAGCAAATTGAGAAAAGCCACCACCAAGATTCTGGGATTCTTCATCTCGAACTTTGCCGGCCACGCGTTGGAAATCATCGGTGGCATCCGCGCGGAGCTGAGTACATGCGAAGACGTTCATCAATGATTGCCGCAAGGTGGTCAGGATTTCGGGTCCCTCCCCGACCACCTTGAGCGCCAAATCGGGGTTTGGCACTCAAGGCCATTGGTGTGAGGTCCATGGCATCTGCTTCCAAGCTGCTCGAGGGTGGGTGAAGGAACAGCGCAGAACTCATGGCTGAGACAAAGAGACTTGTGTTTCCTCCAGGTGCTGCGAAGAAGACATTTGTGTGAGCCTAAGCGCCTAAAGGGGTGGACGGGTCAAGCGTCTTCCGGAGTGCTCCAAGATTTCGGATGTCAGTCCTACGTTCAGGCAAGAGCTACATGCATGGCTCTTAAGTACTGCTCCGTAATCATGATTTCTCCTGCCCCTGCTCCACCGGCCGCGACGGCAACAAGAAGCTTCGGGTCCTGCAGTGTGGACGCACTCGGGTGTAATACTGTTACAAGCAAGAAGGCCCGTCATACTGTTCACTAGCGGAGCTGTAGCAACATCGGCCGAAACACAAATTTCAGCAGTGATAGTAGTTGAGGCTTCTTCATGCCTACAACATCGCATCAGCATCAACCCCGTTATCACCAGCAACATCAACATGATTAATTCGATGGATTCATTCATTGCCGTCATCAACAGCGGCAGCACCACCAGCAATATTAACTATCATCACCTCTGTGGTTGGAGCACCGTGCCAAGATTACTGGCACCATCTTGGTCATCCACTGCCTCACCATGTTACCTTCACTGCCATGAGGATAAAGCCCTCCTTTGTCCATTCAAGCAGTCGCTCGGAGATATCCCTCCCACGAGGCGTCTGCATTAACCGGGGCGCTCCACCGGCCTTTCCATTGGTGGGCCAGATCCCCAGGGGACGGTTGCAGGCTTTCGGCCGTGGCCAATGGAGTGATATTGTAGGGGCCCTAATAACTAGAATATGGTTTTGGGGGCTCCTTATTGTACTTATACTATAAAGGAGCCCAGAACCCTATTCTAATTATTAAAGCCCTTGCATTACAGGAAATGCCGGATTGAACCGTCACAGTCGTGGGTCTAGGGAGTCCACGCGGTCCATAGTCCACATTCAGTGCCGCACGTGCTTGACTCATGTCAACAAAGAGATCCGCATCGATCATGTGACATGACCCCGAGATGCAAATAGTAAATGCAGAAGAGCAGCAAATTCTTCAAGAAGCTGTGCTCAGACATCTTGTTAGGAGTTTGCGAGAGATTTCCGGCATCATTATGTGTTTTAAGCTCGTTGGCGGTTACATATCCCGATATGGGATCCCATGGTAACCGTTTCTTTTTGGCAATGGTGGATGGCAGCCTGAAGTCAACATCTCTACAGTTTAAAGGGCCGAAGACCCTGAACCCCAAACCCCTAAACCCTAAACCCCTTAAACCCTAAACCCCTAAACCCCTAAACCCCTAAAGTCCTAAATCCAAAACCCTTAAACACCTAAACACCTAAACCCTAAACCCCTAAAGCCCTAAACGCCTAAACCCCAAAGCCGTAAACCCCTTAAACGTCCATTACGCTCGAAGAAGAGCGCGAGGACACCAACCCGACTGGCCGGGTGCTGAACCGATTCTCTGAGGACGTGGAGGCAGGGTTTAGGGCTTTAGGGCTTTAGGGCTTTACGATTTAGGGCTTTAGGGCTTTAGGGTTTTAGGGTTTTAGGGGTTTAGGGGTTTAGGAGTTTAGGGTTCAGGGCTTTAGGGGTTTAGGGCTGTGGGGGTTTAGGGCTTTAGGGCTTTAGGGGATTAGGGGATTTAGGGGTTTTAGGGTTT